AAACACAACCAAACAGCTTAGTCTGACTCTCTCTAGTGCAGCTACCTCCCAAGAATCCTTCTTAGCTCTGTTATTTGCTGCTTATTTTATAAACAGCAGGTTCAAACAGTGTTTGAACTTTGTGACAGTTACTACCTTTGTGCCCATGTTAGTTGGATTGTCCTCAGTTGATATCTTCTTCAAGTCTATGATTCCTTTAGCCGCTAAATCCCTCACGAAATGATATCTAACATCCACGTGCTTCATCCTTTCGTGGTAAACTGGATTTCTACTCAGGTGAAATGCACTCTGACTATCCAAAAACACTACTGTCTTCTCATCAATCAGCTCCACCTCAGATAGAATCCCCTTAAGCCATAATCCTTCTTTGAATACATTTGCTACAGCAATGTATTCTGCCTCAGTGGAGGAGAGGGCAACAATGGGTTGAAGCTGGGACTTCCAGCTTATGCAATTTCCTCTTAATGTGAAGTAGTATGAGGTAGTAGACTTCCTTGTGTCCCTATCTTCTGCAAAATCAGAGTCTACATATCCCACAAGATCAAGTGAGTTTCCTCTTTTCTTATATTCCAGCCCAACATATATTGTACTATTAATATATTTCAGTAACCATTTCAATGCTAACCAGTGTTCTGTACCTAGATTGGACATAAAATGACTAAGAAGTGAAATGGAATAAGATAGGTCAAGTCTGGTGATAATCATGGCGTACATGATTGATCCTATCACATTGGCATAGGGAATTTTTTCCATCTTAATGAATTCAGATTCAGTCTTGGGACATTGTGTCTTACTAAGTGTAAAATGGCTAGCTAAAGGCATGGATACTGGCTTGGAATCTGACATTCCAAATCTGGATACTAGTTTCAGTAAGTAGGAGGACTGCTGAAGTTTTAGTTCACAGTCCTCTCTTTTCCTGTTAATGACTATCCCTATGATCTTTTTAGCACTACCTAAGTTCTTCATGTCAAACTCAGAATTTAGCCTAGACTTCAAGTCATTTATTTTGGTTTTTGATTTACTAATTAGCAACATGTCATCTACATAAAGCAGTAAATACACAGGTATACCAGAATTTAAATCATAGTAAAAACAATTGTCATACTCACTTCTTTTGAATCATATACTAGTAATGAAGGTGTCAAACCTTTTATACCATTGTCTAGGGGCTTGTTTAAGCCCATACAAGGATTTGTGTAACAGGCAAACATGTTCAGGACAATTTTTATCAATAAACCCCATAGGCTGTTTCATGAAGATTTTTTCATCTAGATTACCATGCAAGAAAGCAGTTTTAACATCTAACTGTTCTAGTTCTAGGTCTAGATGTGCAACTATAGATAGCATGATCCTAATGGTTTTATATTTGACTACAGGGGAGAAGATTTCATTGAAATCAATCTCTTCCCTTTGGGTGTAGCCTTTTGCTACAAGCCTATCTTTAAATCTAGGAGGATCAGTAGAAGTCATACCTTCCTTTACCTTATACAGCCATCTGCAGTCAATAAGCTTCTGTTTTTTTGGACAGGGTACTAGGGACCAGGTCCCATTTACCTTCAAGGAGTGCATCTCCTCTTCCATGGCAGCTTGCCATTTCTCCCTGTCTTTGGACCTTATTGCTTCATCGTAGCTGTCTGGTTCAGTTCTCTGAATTTCAGCACCTACAACCAAAGCTGTAAACACTAAGTCAGCATATGAGTATCTTGCAGGAGGTCTGATTTCTCTCCTGGTTCTGTCTCTGGTGAGTTGGTATTGTACTAGTGACTCTTGTTGGGGTTGTTCTGAAATTTCAGTTTGATCATCCTCTGATTCATGTTTCAGATCTGAAATTGCAGGTGTTTGCTCTTGGTTTTCCAGTTCAGTTTGAACTTTGACCTGCTTCACCTCAATTTGTGTCCCATTGTACTAATCTTGACTACTTTCCTCAATGGTAGAGGTACCTGCAGGATTATTAAAGATTCTACAAGGAAAAATATTTTCGTTAAAAATAACATCTCTACTTATAATAACTTTCACCCTGGTGCCTCTCTTTCCCACAGCCTGTACCATTTAGTCCCCTCTTGGTAACCTAAGAATATGCATCTCAAGGACCTAGGTTCTAATTTTCCCTCACTGGTGTGTGCATAAGCAGCACATCCAAATGCTCTAAGGTGACCTAGGTTGGGCTTCCTATTAGTCCATTTTTCTTCTGGGCATGTGAAATTAATGGCACTAGAGGGACTCCTATTAACCAAATAAGCTGCAGTATTAAGGGCCTCACCCCAGAAGGATTTTGGTAAACCTGATGTGAACAGGAGACATCTAATTTTTTCTAACAGAGTCCTGTTCATTCTCTCAGCGACTCCATTCTGTTGTGGAGTCTTCCCCATAGTCTTATGTCTAAGTTCCCTTTATCACTACAGAATTGGTCAAACTCACTATTACAAAATTCTAGGCCATTGTCAGTTCTGAGAACTTTAACTCTCCTATCTGTTTGGTTCTTTACTAATGCTTTCCAATTCTTAAACCTAGCTAGAGCCTTATCTTTGGTCTTAAGCAGATAAACCCAAACTTTTCTGCTATAGTCATCAACTATAGACAGAAAGTAACTACTTCCCCCATGTGTTTTGGTTTTTTCAGGCCCCCATAAATCAGCATGAAGATATTCTAGGTTTTTGGTGGCCAGGTGAGTTCCTTTCTGGAAGCTCACCCTATATTGTTTCCCTAATATGCATGTCTCACAAAAATTTAAAGTATCAATAGAATTCTTACCAAACATACCTTGCTGGCTTAGAATGTTGAGTCCTTTCTGACTCATGTGGCCCATTCTGAGGTGCCACTTTTCTGTAATAGTAAGATTAGTAGTGAACAAAGCAGAATTAACATAATTTGAATAGTAATTACCACACAGGATGTAGAGGCCATTTCGTTTGACACCTTTCAGAACTAAGTTCTTATTCTTATACACATTTAGGAAATCATCTTCAACCTTATAACAGCAACCTAATTCGTCTAATGTACCTAGGGAAATCAAGTTTCTTTTCAGTTTTGGTATATATCTCACCCTAATTAATTTGACAGATTTACCATTATCAAGACTTAGAACTATACTCCCAATCCCTTGAACCTTGCAGGCATTATTATTTCCCATGTAAACAGTCTCTAACTCACCAGCTTCAAACTCCTGAAACCATTCCCTATTGGGGCTCATATGAAATGAGCACCCAGAATCTAATACCCATTCTTCTACATTTTCAGATCTAGATACAGTCAACACTTCAGATTCTTGGATATCAGTTTTACTGGAGGCTAAATTGCTCTCTGTACTATTCTGTTTTTGCTTCCTGATCCACTCATAACAGTTTTTCTTCAGGTGACCAGTCTTGTTACAGAAGAAACATTTTCTTGTTTCTCCTTTTCCCTTATGAGTATTCTTGTTTTTCTTTCTATTTCTAGAACCGGTATTAAACTAAGAATTACCCCCAAACTGCCTAGATTCTCCCTTTCCTTTCACAAACAGACTACTATTATTTTTCTTCTGGACCCTAAGCTCTAGTTCTCTAGCCTTTAAACCTGATGTAATTAGGTCTATACTAGGGACAGTTCCAGTGTACAATAGGGCATTCTTGACAACCATATATTCTTCAGTAATAGAATTTAAGAGAATCATGGCTAAACTAGACTCACTGAGTTCTTGATCAGTGCCCTTAAGTACAAGGGTCATTTTCAAGAACTCATCTAGGTTCTTTTCTATGGTCCTAGCACTATCCATCTTATAAGAAAACAGTAGACCTTTCAAATAAGCAAGATTAGGGGCAGATTGAACTGCATAGAGTGACTCTAGCTTACCCTAGAGAGTTAACGATGTCTCAGCACCATCTACCTTTCGCAGAACGTTGTCGGCCAGATTAATGACGATGAGATTGTATGCCTCCTCGTCAATTTCAGCTTTTCCTCAGGCCATTTGGTCTGGTCCTTCTCCAATGCGACTGCCACTTTGTTATGTGACAGGAGTGCCTTCATTTTCTTCTTCCATGTGTTGAAATCAACTTTTCCATCATAGTGTGTGATTTCAACCCGCGTGGTACTCATTCTATGTTATTGATGGTAATGGTGTTTGGTAATTTTGACAGACAGATTTGAAGAACAAAGGTTTCACTCGAATTTGTGGTTATCATAAGAAATTAAGGACTAATTTTTGAAGATTTCCTAACTCTAGACCTCACCGAATCTTGAAATCAAAAAACCCCCAAAATTTATCAAACCCTAATTTCAACAGTAAACCCTAAAATTGACGAACCCTAAATTGATGGCTCTGATACCACTGTAGAGATAATCTGTACTATTAACACTCAAAATCATCCACCAATTTCACACACAACACACACAAACGAAGAATGTAAAGAAATCAAGAACAAAGACACACGAATTTTTACTGTGGTTCGCTTATCCTATATAGGATAAACTACATCCACGTTGAGCTCAAGAAACTCAAGAGCTCGCTGCACTAAAGATTAATACAACTTGATACAAGCAGATTCTACACCCAGACCCACTCTAAAACAGCGTATCTCACTCTCACAACAACCTAAAATCTTTCTTGTGAGAACTCTAAAACAGATCCTCAAGACTCAAGGGAAATGCAACCCTTACAAGTGATTACAACCAACCACACAAAGATTACAGGCAAGAACAAAACGATACAAAGCAGATTTTCTTTTACACAGAATACACAAAACTGAAAAATAAAACCTAGTAGCAGACTGAAAAATGCAGCAGCAAGGTAAAGTCATTTTTTACATTCTGTTTTGGGTAGAATAAATCCTGGCCGTTAGATGCTTTTCTCTTCAATGGTCTGGATTCAGTCTCTTTTAAAACAAGGATAAAACGGCTGCGTTGCACTAAAGGTACAATAGCAGCGTTTTTGTGTGCTTCATTCTAACTGTTGAGATTTCGTGGCAAGGACTCAGGCTTCCTGTTTTTTTTTTTTTTTTTGAATGGTTAAATTTCATACGGTTGTTTTTCTCTTCTGGACTTAGCATGTTATTGCTCTCTGGTATTTTGACTCCGTACAATCAATTCATGAAAATTTAGCAAATTTAAAACTTTGAATGATCCTGGGTTCAGCTATTGTTCCTTTTATTTTACCTGACAAAAAAAGAGAAAACATCGTTATTAGAATCTTAGTGATTAAGATTCCAATTCTGTTATGTACTGCGTTCTCTTTAATTTATGCTCCTCTTGGTTGTGGAGAAAGTTTTTTGTATGGGATGAAAAACTTATGTTTCTTTTGTTATTATATGTCGAACAAGATGAAACAATCAAATACAATATATCAATGGAGTTATTTGCTGATAATGAACATAATTATATTATTAATTAGATATGCTTGACTTAGATTGATTAATTAGCTCTTTGAATCTCAGAACAAGGATGAAATCACCATGCAAGATATGAGCTTCTTTTTGAATTAGAGAAATAAATTATTGATAAGCTTTCTCATGGACATTTTATTGCTTCTGCAAATTTTAATTCTCAAGTGTTGGTGCCTTGCAACATTTCGGTTTTTAAGTCATCATATGAACTCTGGAGACCCCATTAGTAGCAGGGACATTGAAATAAGCAAAGCTGGAACTGAAACTCCGTGAATAACACCATTACAATCAACAATTCAAAATTTGAAAAATGAATCTAGACCTCAATTAAGTTTTTCCTTGGGGATGTTTTGTTAAATAGTGAAGGATCCACTATGTAATCGTTCCAGGTGCTCCTTATATCTCAAATTTGAAATTGTAAAATTACTATAATTGTAATATCACTGTATATGACAGTACATGTGACTTGTCATAATTTTGTTAACTTACTTTATGCCAAGCAGGTACCATGATATGTTTGGACAAATTTCTGGACATTCGTTTGCATTACTTGCAGTGGAATTCAGTAAGTTTGGACTAAGTTTTTCTTACCATCCATGATTTTAAGTTTTGTTGTTCATAAGTTTCCTTAATACTCATTTAAATTATGTTTAGTTATGTGTATTTACAATTATCCCCTTTCTGATTTAATTATTTACTTCCAGTAATGTTGAAAGACATTGTTTGTCTTGAATTATCTGATATTTTGTGTTTTGTCTCGTCATATGATAGTTTCACTAGCACAAATTAATCCTCCTGGAATTTATTTTTTTAGGTGGCACGGTAGTGCCAGCTTTCAACCTCTTAAAAGAACGTGGGGTTGAAACCAAGTGGATTAAAGAGGTAAATACTTGGACATACTTCTTTGTTATTTATTTACTTTTATTAGTTTGAACTAAAATTGGAAATTTCAGGTGCAGGTAGAACATTCTTGAAGTTTTAAGAGCATATTGACATTTTTTTTTAGTTGGTTTGGTACACTGTGAAATTTGATCATATGAGAATGCTGTCATGAACAGGGTTCTCTTAAAGTGTCCATGTTGTTTCCTGGATTCATATATGAACCTTATGCCCCTCGTGAAGCAATGCCATTTTGGCGGAGGTTAGTTAGACTTTCACAGAGTTTTGGGTTTGTTTTCTAAGCTTATGGTTTGCACTGGCAATCATTTCACTAAATTTCGGTAACTAAAGTAGAGCCTTAAATTACTTTATAGCAATGCTAGATAATTTTCGTCATGTCACATTATTCAATTTCCGTTATCATTGATAATCGTTGAATTTGAACATTCAAAGATACATCGCCCTTACCCCGAAGAAAAGAAAGATCCCTGTCAATTTTTTGATACTTTGTTTTGTTTGAAGGACATTTAGTCAATACACTTGATCTTTATATAAAGAAAACACATTTCAAGAAAATGATGAAGAAAAATATATTTTGTAAGTATGTTGGGCAGACAAACCTCTCTAGGGGAGTTTACATGATTTGCAACGTTCAAAATTCAAATAGCAAGTTTAAAATGCAAGCTTATTGTATTTATAAAATATTTTATTGTGAATAATGAATCACTTATAATTATTTATCTTTCATGCAAATGAATTTCTCAAAATCATCATTGAACTAGCTTGATTTGATGCTTAAATTCTACTCATTGCAGGGTTATATTGGGGTCAAACCAGGATGGACAGGAATTAACTTCCCTTACAACATGTCGAAGGAGGAATTTGAGTTCATTCTAGCTGCATCGGAGTTCATGGCGATTTGTGAGCAGCAATTTTTGCGCTTGTACCATTTCAATGAGAAAACTGGAAGCTGGTGCTTTAAGAAGTCACTGAAGAACTTCATCAGTAAATAATGAGCTTGGATAGTACAATAAGAAAGCTGATGCCCAACATCTGGGAATGATCTTAAAATCATGAACTAAAATTAATAGAAAAAACACAAGAAAAAAATTAAGTTCATTAAATCCTCTTCTGATCTCCATTTACTTGAAGAAAACTTAAGAAACAGAGAATTCTGAAAATTGATTTTGTTATAAAGCTTCAATAATGTCTCACGAGTCACGCCTTAGACAAGAGTTGCATACATTTTTAGTATTAGGAACTTCGCACTACTCATGCGTCTAACAACTTTTATTTAACAGATTGCTGAGTAGCTAGGGGTTAAAGCATCCGATCGGTTTGTTGAACTCTGGCGCTTGCCTTATCATCGGCAAGTTGTTGGAGTTGGTTGCTATTGATGCAAACATACATGTCAATGCATGGGGATGTATGTTCCGATGTAACCCTCGCCGAATAAGGTTGGATGGGAGATTCCTTCCTCTTGTAAGACACCGATGGAGTTTTAGTTTTGCAATCACTAAGGCATGCTATGCGTCGGTGAATAACATGCCAATCCATAAGCCTTTCCCTGGCGTAACATATGCACCGGGGAAAGTTTTATAGATTGCATGTGCGTTGCTGACATGCTAAGCTTAATGCTGACGAACTAGAAGGGTTATGTCGGCATTACTGTGCATCGGACTTCACCTCTAAAGCTATCTCTGTGTCGAAGTTGAAAGTACACTTACTCTGGTTTGCGGCCTATTCCTTGGAAGACAAACTAGAGGCCATTCTTCGACACACTTTTGGAATCAGAGAATGGATACTGATGCAAAAGCTGTGTCAATGATGAATCACCATTCACCAACGTTCCAACTATGCCAGTCTTAGTCTAATTGTGATTTTCGGTGCCTCCTAAGCGGTTGGAAAACGCCATGGAAATAAGCAAGTAATTTTTCAATTTAACTAAATAATTGACATTACGATTTGACTTGCTATAATACGCATATATGCTAAATTCCTGTATGTTTTATAGACTAAGGATATCGATACATCACACAATATTGTTCATGAATCTGACACCAGACTTTTATACAACCAAAAACATGTGCGTCCGGAATGTCTACTACAAAACAACATATTGTTTCACGAGATTCACACAACGTTCAACATTAAAAACAAGCACAGAGAACTATNAAAACACTTAACAATTAAGAAATCCCATTAGGTAAATGACTAACTTACCCTTGGTGCACTTTTATGGATACTTATTACATATGGATTTGTATGAAAAGACCATTATACCCTTGGTTACCGTTTACGCCATTTAACCATATCAATCAACTTTATGACCATTCTACCCTCATTTCTCTTCAATGACATCACCCCTTACACTTTATAGTGGCCACATCTCGAAATACATGTAAATTGACCATTTTACCCTTCCATTCAGAAAAAGAAAATTACTTGAAAGGTAAATTTCATACCTTAGGGCATCGAAATAATAACGCGGGGTTTACAGCCACCTTGTCCTCAAGGTGGAAGTGTGGAAATTGGGTGGCAATCACTTCATAAGGCTCCCAAATGGCTTTGAAAGTGGGCAGATCCCCCCACTTAATCAGGACTTCCTTGGAGCCATCGATCAAGGTATGAGAGGAGAGAACAGATTCAGGTTGGACTGATAGTTCTAACTCTTTAGTCAATGCTGGAGGTAAAGGTTGGGTGGGGATCGAGCTGTGTATGCTTTTCTTGAGTTGGGATACATGAAAAACTAGGTGGATACAGGCTGTGGGTGGGAGGGCGAGTTTGTATGCAACTTGGCCTATCTTTTCCATCACCTCAAAGGGACCATAAAACCTGAGGCTCAATTTCTCATTGATCTTCCTGGCTAAAGATCTGAATTTGTAGGGTTGTAAGCGGAGAAAGACAGTCCCCTGGCTGAAAAGACAGCTCTTTGCGATGGGAATCCGCTGCCTCTTTCATGTGGCTTTGAGCCACCAACAAGTTTTCCTTTAACTCACGCAAGATGGTGTTCCTCACCTCAATCTGCCTATTGATATCTTCTACCAAGGAAGGGTAGTCCACAAGCTTCAACAGTAGAGGTGGATCCCTCCCATAGAGGGCTCGGAAAGGAGTCATCTTAGTGGAGTTGTGGTACATAGTGTTGTTCCAAAATTCAGCCCATGGTAACCATTTGTGCCATTTCTGAGGTTGAGAACAACAAAAACATCTGAGGTATGTCTCTACATAGCAATTTACCGCCTCGGTTTGGCCATCCGTCTGCAGATGATAGACGGAACTGAATTTCAATCACTCAATATGTTGCAAGTGTAGCTTTATTGTTTAGCGTATATAGTGATGCTTTGGTGAGACATAACAAAAAGGTGAATTGCGGAGACAAACAATTCGACTCTAAGCAAATCATGGCTTTTGCTAAGCAGCAGGTATATAAATATATATACTAATCAAATCAAGCACAAAACATCTCTTAAAATCGCTATATAAACAAGTAGTAATTGGAAAAAAAATATCAAAATTGCAGATCGATTATATACTAGGGAAAAACCCAGAAGGAAGATCATACATGGTTGGATTTGGCAAGAACCCACCAACACAAGCGCATCACAGGGGAGCTTCAGTCCCAAAAACGATAGTAAACTCAAACGTGAGTTGTTCAATGAGCTTTGTTTATTTGTACTGTAAAGATGAGCCAAACCCTAATGAGCTAACAGGAGCCATTATTGGAGGACCAGACCAATATGATCGATTTAGTGACAAACGTTGGAATTCATCAAACACTAAGCTATGCTGTCATAGTAATTCAGTGGCAGTCGGCGTCTTGGCTAAACTTGCAGCTTCACCATAGTCTTTTGGCTCTTAATTAATTTGATTAGTCGTCTTTTAGATTGATTAGTCTAATATCTATTACCGATTAAAGCTCGCCATGAACATAGCGAATGTCTATTTAGAAGCGTTTATTATTTGTATTTAAATTCATGTTAATTTTTATCATATATGTCAACCTTAAGAAGCTCTCTATGTATATTTGGTATGGAGGAGCCTTAGATTGAAATATTCTTAAAGTATCCATTCAATATTTTATTATTTCTTTCCTTCAGGGAAGGAGGGATGTTGCAGATGATTAATAAAACTTCGTAATTTTCTTCAATTTCTTGGATTATGATCTAGATATGCAAAAATATTATTTACTTGCATTTGTTTTTATCATATTTTATTATTAAATTTATAAATACTGTTAGATGTAAAGCTTATGTTTACAAGTAATGTAATGTTTTATTATGGTATCATTATAAATAATATCCCATAAATATTAAGGCTATTGTACTTTGATAAGAAAACATGTTAATAAGTTTTTATAGGTAAAAGAGTAATACTAGAAATACAAACAGATTCTTACAAAAAAAATTACACGGTGTGGCAAAAAATGAATGAAAACGTGAATATGATGAGTTTGACTTTTTATATTCTTTTTTCATTTATTTTCCTATCACATCAATTAGTACAGAAATATTTGTAAGATTTGTTTGTACGTCTAGCATTATTATACATAAAAATAAGGGATAAGTTTTCAGTGTAAAATGATTAAAAAAAAAAGTAGAGTTTTGAAATATTTATAAATTATTTTTCAAAAAAAAAAGTGTCCACAAATTGATATTATCCCTATCATAATCATATAAATAACAATGTTAGTGCCAAAATTTGCACCAAATTGGAAATCACTAATCTGACTTTGTCTTTCCGCTCTGTATTTTATAACCACCTCTGGTTTTTGGATTGAAGGCTACTTGTCCTACAAAATAGAGTTTTTGCCTGAAAACAAGGAAAGAATATGAGAGGTGTTTATTATGATTATTTTTTTAATATAATGAACTTTTGTATGATTTAGTACATTTTTTTCCCATTTCAAATCAATCCACAACTCTAATTATTTAAGTTTTTACACTAAAAACTTAACCATTTCTTTTATCTATATAAAAACTTATTAACATGTTTTCTTATCAAAGTACAATAGCCTTAATATTTATGGGATATCAGTTATAATGATACCATAAAAAAACATTACACTTCTTGTAAACATAATCTTTACAACAATATTTACAAATTTAATCAGTGTTTTAAAACCCAAGCTACGGTGAAACCCGGCAAAGTGGCCGCATCTCGGGTTGACTGGTTTAACTGGTTTGACCTTGAAATCTAACAAAAATACCCCTAAAAATTACATGTAATTCTATATAAATTTGAAATCTTTCAAAAACACCCCAAACACCACCGTCAACGTCGGCAAATAGGGCATGTTTCTGGCGACAACAACACTCCCATCACTAGAAAACACTCCCCTCAGCCTCTTATTCAAAACTCATCTCACCCATCCCCCGTCTGCCTCCCCAATTGCCAGCAATAGTGAACTTTTCCGACAACATAGTTTTGCAATTTCCAATCAATTCACTCACTAGAAATCATTGTCATCGCCACCATTGTACTCAAAGGCCATTCCTCTTCAAAATCCTTAACATTTCAGCCTTCAATTGTTCATGGATTGATAGCCTAATTTCTAAGGTTTTCAATGAATATGAAAATTTGTAACCCAACATAGTGAAGGCCCCGAGTCTCGGTTGAACCAGGTCAGGCTGGGTTTTTAAACACTAAATTTAATAATAAAATATCATGAAAACAAATGAAAGTAAAGAATATTTTTGCATATCTAGATTACAATCCAAGAAATTGAAGAAAATCATAAAGTTTTATTAATCATCTCTTATATCCTCCTCCACTGAAGGAAGGAATTAATAACATTAAATGGATACACTTTAAGGATGTGTTTGGTTCAGAGAATTTTGTATTACTGAAAATGTTATATTAATGGGAAAATAGATTACCTTGAAGATGACTGTGAATGTTATATTAAATGTGTTTCGTTAGATTGGAATAAATTAGTGAGTATGTTATATTCATATGTTTGTTTGGGAGGAATAAATTGTTGGGTATGTTATATAGGTTATTGAATTGTCCTTCTTTTTTAATATTATATTATTATTATTTGAATTATTTTTTTACCCCTTACATTTGAGATTTTTCTAAAACACCCCAGTCATAATAAAAGTTTAAATTGTAACAAAAACACCCCCACTCACCTAAGCCACTATCGGCCGCCGTCCATGGCCTAAACGGCGCACAACCGACTTGATATGGCTAGTCGTACGCCGATCTAGCTATTTTTGGTCAGATCGATGCCCGAAAACGGCCAGATCTATTCTAGCCATGGATTTGGCCCTTTTCAGCTAGATACATGGTTGTTAATGGTCAAATTTGTGGTTGTCAACGGCCACAGATCTAGCCAGAATAAATCTGGCAGTTTTGGCCAGATTCATGACCATTTAGTTGTTTTTGATCATCCAATCAAATCGGTACACGGTCAGCCAGATCCGACCGATCTTGCACCATTTGAACAACTAATGCCGACAGTCGACAGTGGTGGCCGGTAACCGGCTGAGGTCCTAGGTAATTTGGTGAGTGTACAAGGCTATAAATGTCTTAATATTTTTTTCTAAGTTGTCTCAAGAACATTTGTGGCCTTAGGCAAGAATTACTTTGGAGGCCTTCTAACAATATAAGAATATATTGAAAAAAATATTTCAAATTTATTTTTCTTGCCTTTTGAGATGCAAAATCACTATGAGAGGTGGACGGCACCCGATAGGCTAACAGGGTTAAGTCGGTGGGGGGTATTAGAGAGCAGATGCTGGAGAAACGATGGATAGTGAAAGGGGTGATTCCAATACCAGGATTGACTGGAAAAGGCTTGAGAATTTATAGCCCCAAAGGTATCAGTGGTCGGCAATTGGTGGAGTAAACGGCTGAGGTATGATAAGGGTTTTAGTGAGAGGGCTAAGGGAAGGAAGATGATGGTGTCGGGGAAGGCCAACGACGTCTGGTACATGTCAAAAAGGCCAAAAATGGCGATCGCACACAGTGGAGCTAGCTCGTGAGATTCATCAAAAAAATCGGCCAAATCGAGGGCTATCAAGGCCGGAGAAACACTTGGGAAATGATAAAGTGATGATTCCAACCGATTTTGGTGAGAAAATCAATTAGAATTAGCTCTAAACAGCAACGGCGAAAGAGGGGTGGAGATGATTTATGTGAATGTCGAATTTTGGGATTGAATTGGGGGTTAGTAATTTGAGACATGTAAATGACTATTTTAGCCTTTCATTGTTAAAAGAAATTCAATGTGTTAATTTAGAGGTGTAAATTTGAATATATGAAACTAGAGGTACAAACTTGTTATTTCGTCAAACTTTGGCTGAATGGGAGAGAAAATGGGTGGTGACTTAGAGGAGTTGTGTAAAGGGGCTAAAGTTGATGATATCCGTTTTGTTGGGGATTTCTTTACTTGGAATAATAGAGGAGATGCAAATAGAAGAATTTGGTGTGAGTTGGATAGGGTCTTAGCCAATGAAAAATGGGGTTTGTGTTTTCCTTCATCGTATGCCACGTTTCTCCCCTTGGGTGTTTCGGATCATAGCCCTATGATTCTTGATTGTGGATTACCAACTATAGGTAGGAGAACTCCGTTTAAATTTTTTAATTACTGGACAGAACATGCAAAGTTTCTTCCTTTGCTTGAAAACGTGTGGAAGATGGAAGTGCGTGGCAACCCTATGTTTAGGCTTTTTTCCAAACTCAAAGCTTTAAAGGTGGAGCTTACAGGGTTAAATAAACAAGAATTTTGGAATATCTCCAAACGGGTTAAGATGGCTAGGGTAGAGTTGACAGAGTGCCAAAATAATTTAGGAGGGGATCCGTTTAATGAGAACATCATCCAAGAGGAAAGGGTCAAGACTACTATGTTGTTTAAGCTTTTCAAGGATAAAGACTCCTTAGCCAAGCAAAAGTCAAGAATCAAGTGGTTTAGAGATGGAGATGCTAATACTTCCTATTTCTTTAAATGTGTTAATGGATAGAGAAATGGGAATAGAATTGTTCCTTAAAGGTAGGGAATGATAGTTACACCAATGATGCAAGGAGAATTAAGAATGAGTTTGTGGATTTTTATGAAGACTTGTTCAAAGATAAAGAGAATTGTAATTGAGCCTATTATTTCGGTGGAGGAAGCTAACGACATGGTGGTCGAGATCACTAGGGAGGAAATTACCAAGATTATGTTTGCTATGAATAAGGATAAAGCCCCGAGGCCAGATGGCTATAGTGCCCTATTCTTTCAAAAAGCTTGGAATGTGGTGGCTAATGAGGTTATCGAGGCTATTCAACACTTCTTTATCTCGCATAAGCTTCTTAAGGAACTTGACTGCACTATCATTGCCTTAGTTCCAAATGTGAGAATCTGTCATCTTGCCATAAGTTTAGGCCCATTTCTTGTTGCAACACCATTTACAAATGCATCTCCAAGATAATGGCTAATAGAATTAAAGGTGTGCTACCCAAGTTTATTAATGAAGCACAAATGGCCTTTGTTGGGGGAAGGAAAATTGGGGATAATATTTTACTTAGCCAGGAGTTGTTGAACCATTATGATAGAGATTCGGCTAAGGGGAGGAGATGTGCTATTAAAGTCGATTTAATGAAGGCTTATGATTTGTTGAGACGAGGTTTTGTTTTGGAGGTGCTTAAATTGTTTGGGTTTCCTATGCAATACATCAATTGGGTGGAACAATGTATCACAACCTCAAGGTACTCTATAACAATAAATAGGGAGCTTGCAAGTTTTTTTGGAGTATCTAAGGGACTGAGGCAAAGGGACCCTTTCTCCCCTTACCTTTTTGTCATAGCCATGGAAGTCCTTTCTAGATTATTGGAAAAAGTGTCGGCCAACAAGGATTTCAAGTTCCATTGGAGATGCAAGGATTTAAATCTAGCCCATCTTTGTTTTGCAGATGATTTGATGCTTTTTTGTAATGCCAACAAAGAGTCCATTACTCTCTTAAAGAAAGCTTTGGATGAGTTTTCTAGCGGGCTGGCCTCCAAGCTAACCAATCAAAGAGAAACATTTTTTTCTCCGAGGTTTATGTTGATGAAAGAAGAGATCTCTCATTTGTTTTCGAGTTCGAAGAAGGCAAGCTTCCAACGAAGTATCTTGGTGTTCCTCTCATCACTAAGAAGATTAAGTACTCGGATTGTAAACCTCTGTTGGAAAGAATCTTTGCAAGAATTAATTCGTGGAAAAGTAAGTTTCTCTCTTATGCAAGTAGAGTTATGCTTATTAAATCCATCCTTTCTAGTATCCAAGTGTATTGGTCTGTGGTCTTTATGCTCCCCTCCGAAGTTCATGGTGAAATTGACTCTAAGTTGAGAGACTTCCTCTGGTCGGGATCGGAGATGAAGAGTACTAAAGCCAAGGTGAATTGGGAGGAGGTGTGTGTTCCTAAGGAAGAGGGAGGTCTCGGCATTTTAAAAAGCAAAGAGTGGAATCAAGCAGTAATGATGAGACATGTGCGGAACCTTGCCCAAGCTAAAGGTGATTCGAGGTGGGCTAAGTGGGTTAAAAACTATTTGACTAGTAAGAAAAGCTTTTGGGATATCTCAATCCTGTGCAATGCCTCATGGGCTTGGAAGAGCATTTTGAAACTTTGAAGTGAAGTTAGGAATAGAATCCACTACATTGTCGGCAATGGGGAAAATATTTACTTGTGGCATGATAATTGGCACCCAAAAGGGCCTTTAGTGCAAAGGTATGACCCTAGGATTATTCATGACTCGGGTCTTTCCTATTATGCTAAGGTTGGTGAGATTTGTGATGGAACTAGATGGAAATGGTCAGTGGCAAGAAGGTCTTTCCTATTATCCTTAGCCCTTATGGAAGTTAAAGATTCGGTGGAATTCCTCCCCTTGGGTAGGGATGATAGAGTTAGATGGGATCCGAACCCTTCAGGTTCTTTTATAGTCAAAACAGCTTGGGAAGTTACTAGAACTCATAAGGATCGAGTGGATTGGCATCATCTTGTTTGGTTTCCAAGGGCTATCCCTTAAAACTCTTTCATCTTATGACTTGCCATTAAAGGTCTAATATAAACGAGGGACAAACTTGTAAGGCATGGAGTTACTTCAACTGGAACTTGCTATTTTTGTAATTGTAATATGGAATCTTTTGTTCACCTCTTCTTCTCTTGTAACTTCACTAGAAACATTTGGTGTCAGGTTCTTGGGGTATGTGGTCCAACCTTGGCAAGATTATATTAGTCATATATCCTGTAGATGGAAACCTAAGAAGCTCAAGTATGTCATTAGTAGACTTTGCTTGGGAGCTACTGTTTACCACATTTGGCGAGAGAGAAATAATAGACACTTTGGGCGTGATTGCTTTGATGCCATAACATTGGAGAATGTGATTAAGCGGATTGTGAGGGGGAGGGCGATAGAGCTTTCTAAAGTGAAGAAGTCCCCATTTAATGAGAGGCTTGCTCATAATTTGAGGCTGCCTAATTCTATCTTCTTGGGTTCTAAGGCGTTTGTGTATAGGTGATGTGTGGTTTGGAGAGGGCTCTCAATACCTTGCTCTTAAGAAAGTTTGGGTTCATTCTTTGAGGAGGCAGCTGGTTGGGGGGGCAGTTGGTTGCATTCTTCCTTCAGTGGATGCTTTGATCCAGATGTTCTTGTTGGTTTGGCTTTTAGGGGTGGATGGGTTGTATAGCCTCGGAGGTTACCACCCTTTGGTACACAATGCATTGTAAAGAGCTGGGGAGGTTTTTGTCTTTTTGGATACTATTGAACCTAACCCAGGGCATGTCTTGTGGTAGGTGGGTTTCTTTATAATCTTTAATCTCTGCTTGATTCTATTTCTTTGACAAGAGAAATGAATAAAAAAAAAAAAAAAGATTAGGAGTTGTCTTAATAGTATCATTCATTTGCTTCTAACCCAAGGCTTGTCTTGAGGTAGGTTGGCCAGTTTTTAGGCCTTTTATACATTCTTTCTCCCTCTCTATGAAACGTTTACTTACCCAAAAAAAAAAATGTAAAAAGTTTATAATAAATTTCGACCTTTTTGGCTTTTTTTGGGTGCCCCTTGAGCCAACTTGGATAAGAAATTATACACTATTTTTATTTTTGTAATATATTTTTAAAAAAATTATAAAAAATTTGGACCCTTTTTGGCCCAATTTTTTAGGAGACCTAGGTAGGTGCCTCACCTACCTACCCTTTGGGCTGGCGTTGATTTTTTTGTATAAGGCTAAAATTGTCCATGAAAATTCTTATAAATTGTTTAGATAACAAGGGCATTATTGTCCTAAAATTTTATTAATAAGAGATAAAATTATAACAAAAATAAGATTACCAAGTAATCTTAGAATACTTAAAAAAATGGTAGTATTCAAATTGCTACCTATATAACCAACATTGATTACTATTGGTTTTGGAAGATTAATGGAATCTTATATTACTTGATATTCAAACGTGATAATAATGTTAGTAATATAAGATAACATTACTGGATGGGAGATAACACTCTGTAGGTTAACAGATCTATAAAACGCAGTGGAAATTAAAAAATTTTAATTAGATCCGCAAACCTTAACCAAGATCCTTATGCCCAATTTACATTATTTTAAATTAACCAAATCAAAGGATATAAAATTTCATACCAACGTTGGAGGCTCCTTCGATTTGAGGTTAGAATCGCTACCACTCTAAAGTAGAAGTGCACTTACGATATCCACATGAAGACAGGACGGTTGTCGTTGAGGGATTTTTAAGTTAGGAAAAACTCTCAACTTCAAGACTAATTTTCTGCATAATTTTTCTTGGGAAGAAAAATTCTTTCTCTCACAACAGGGTTCACGTTTTTTAGAAAGAGAGAGAGTGGCTAGGGTTTTATTAATTGAATGAAATTAATTCATTTTAATTTTTAGTTGCACTTAAATAATACACACTAAAACCCTATTCCAATATCAATATTAATAATAAATATTAATATTGGATCATATCCTTTATATATATACATATATATATATAATCTCACTAATTTAATTTTCATATGAAATTAAATTTAGACAACAACCTCAATAAATTTAATTATACTGTGAGATTACCAAAATGTCATTTCATCTTAAAAGACAAAAATGTCATTTCATCATAAATGACGAAAATACCCTTCTCATGAATTTTATTCTTAATTAGTCTTCTATGTGTGCGACCCGAAGGCTCCTCATCATGTTGGCAGTAAATCGTATCGTGATTAACAATCAATCAATCGTTCCACAAGACACAGACCAAGATTAGCCTTTAGCCAGGTATCATAGCACCTGATAGATTCAGACTCAACGAAGCCTCTACCTATCAACGATATGGTTATTGTGCAATCTAATCTTTTTATCATCTATTATCTCATCAAGGCTGGGGCATAGAATTAGTGTCAACCTCGGATATCCTTGATATCTCGATATTCGTTAATTAGACCAACAACCAGAATAGATTGGATTAGGCTACAACTCAATCCCACTGTGGCCACAGATTTAATGTCGTTGTCATCTACCGAATTACTCAGTGAGATAATTTCTCTCGTACCCGAGAATGGTGAATCCTCTGTCAATTCACCATAGTCTCGATACACTTTTCAATGCAGCCAACCACTACCGTTCTAATAGTCTTGAGAGGACTACGTTGAGCTAGTGATAAACTACATCAATCGGTGCACAAGGCACTCCGACGATCTGAAGTCTAAGGATCACATGCACCACCATTCGTTGAAGGATTTGTTCCATAGACACTGGGATAACCATCTATGTGGAATCCTCCAGTGGGTCGATCCGATGAACTTTCCTATAGCAAGCACCCATGTGTTGCACCAAGTTGTCACCAAACAACCTTGACAAATGAGATCTGTCATTGCCTCTCGACAAGGTCGTCCAACACTATGATAGTCTTACCGTATTATCTGTGCCCTAGGTCAAGATAATACTAGGGTTATGGACGTTTCTAGAATGGCCACCATATATGCTCATAAAGTTCTCATTATCCAGATTTCAAACATTCAATACCCTCGTCACGGTTCTACCATCATAAGGACATACATCATTTTCTTATACGAATATAATCAGATCACATGATATAAATATATGTCTTTATTGATAATAAAACATGATTACAAAGAGTCAATTTACAAAATAGGATTGGCTCTAGAACACCTACTCTAACACCTCAACTAAACAGCCCCTGAGAATATTACAATCTAAAGCTCCTCCATACAAAATATACATAGAGAGATACTTATTGACATATATAGTATAACCTCTATAAATTAGTAACCTTGGGATCATATAAATTATATTAATTAAAAGAGGTATTAATTAATCGATAAATTAATAATTAATTTATAGAGTGTACTTACAATTCAATGAACATAGATTTAAATTAGATATGAGATCCAACAATATTCAAAGCATCAACAACACTTTATATTTTTTTTATTGCAATTCGAGAATTCAACCCTAGAACTTCTAGATGCAAGGAGAAAAATTAGAGATAAGATCCAACAAAATTTAAATTTCAAGAAAAAAATAAGAATTAACAAATTATTTATTTATAATATGAATAGGACCACAGAGTTATGTAAGGTTTTCTAGAAAAATATTATTTTATTAATTTAACCTACTAACTTAAATTGGAACCGTAAGAAATTATTATCTAATAGAGTTTATTAATTTATTGAGTATTAATTTATAGAGATTATACTGTATAATACAAATTAACATCTAATTTAAATAAAAATAACAAACGGTTCTAAATAGACAATCGTTACGTTCATGGCATGCTTTAATTGGAAATCGATATCAGACTAATCAATCAAAAAGACGACTAATCAAATTAATTAAGAGTTAAAAGACTACGATGAAGCTGCAAGTTTAGCCAAGACGCCGACTGCCGCTGAATTAACATAAGTGCATGGCTCAGTGTTTGATGAATCCCAACGTTTGTCAATAAACCGATCAGATCGGTCTGGTCCTCCAATAATGGCTCCTGTTAGTTCATTAGGGTTTGGCTCATCTTTACCGTACCAATAAACAAAGCTCATTGAACAACTCACGTTTGAGTTTTCTATCGTTTTTGGGACTGAAGCTCCCCTGTGATGCGCTTGTGTTGGTGGGTTCTTGCCAAATCCAACCATGTATGATCTTCCTTCTGGGTTTTTCCCTAGTATGTAATCGATCTGCAATTTTGATATATTTTTCCAATTACTATTTGTTTATATAATGATTTTAAGTTATTTTTGTGCTCGATGTCATCAGTATATATATTTATATACCTGCTGCTTAGCAAAAGCCATGATCTGGTTAGAGTCGAATTGTTTGTCTCCGCAATTCACCTTTTTGTTATGTCTCTCCAGAGCATCACTGTATACGCTAAACAGTAAAGCTGCACCTGTAACATATTGAGTGTTGGCTCCATCCCTCAAGTGAAGCATGCCACCTTTAATCGAAAGAACATTTTTACTTAATTAATGCCAATTAAGTGATCGAATCAGCTGGCACAGAAAATATAAATCTTGAGTGTACTATGTACCTGGACTGATGTAAACTTGGTGATAAGGGCTTTCAGGAAGATTTGAACAAATAAAACTGTCAGCTTGGTTCTTGTAGTTTTCCAAGGTGTTGTCTCCTTGAAAGAAGAACTGCATTTTCATTGAAAGAAAATAATGGAGTTTCAGAAATTTTCATTAATGAAGTTATAATGTTTAAGATAACAAACCTCAGAGAGCATGATTTGGGCTCCAGCATATTTAAGATCCCAGCTAAACTCGGCTACACTAGCGCTGATGGCGTTTTCTCTAATGTACTGAATATACTTAGACCTCTTGGTGGCGAAGTACAACCAAGTTGAAGCCCATAACAGCTCATCCTGAAAACATTAAATATAATCGCCCAAAACATCTTAAGATAATTTTGATTTTGTTTTCCATTATTTAAATAAACATTTTTTAAGAAATTAGAGGCATTTTTTATTGAACTGCACTGTGTGAGTATGTACATTATAGCCAGAATAAGAGCAATAGAAGGGGCATTCTCCATCGTAAGTTCTTCTATGGGAATTAGCAAATTCAAACAACTGTTAAGAAAGAAGAAAAAAAAAATTAGCATAATGCAAATTTAAACATGGAGGAGAAACTAAGATAAACAAAAACTATGATGATATAATACCAGCTTGGCTTTGTTGAGGAGACGACGGGAATAGTGACGGTCAACAGTCCTAAAGACAATGGAAGAAGCAGCCATCGCAGCAGAAGTTTCAGCTGCAATCTCAGCCCCAGGTGTATTTGAATCAATCATTAACACATTTCTTGGTGTATTCATAATTTCTGGTCGCACCCAACATTCATGATCCTTCACCGGGTCTCCAACCTGCACGTATAATCGCTTTTTCCTAGAGCTGGCTTTAAGGAAATAATCGGTGCCCCAACGGATCGCAGCAATAACATTTTGATATTCTCCAGATGATTTTAACTCGGATTCATAGATGAGAGAAGACCATGCCAGAGTGGTGATTGTGAAAGCCATGGGGAGTCCATACTTAACATTGTCTCCAGCATCATAATATCCCCCAACAAGATCCACCTGCATCCACAAAAACCAATAATTAATTGATATATATGAACATTATTCATTTAAATTGATCATCATACTTTTATTTTAAGTGAGATGCATGCCCCCTACATGAACATCTTTTCCATCGTTAAGACCAGAATCTCCTCTCCAGGATAGTCTGTTATTGGGAGGAAGCTTTCCTGATCTTTGTGCCTCCAGAAAGATAAGGGATTTGGTGAGTGCATCCTTGTAGTTAAAATTATCATGAGCATTAACAGCAATCAAAAGTCCTTGAAAAATAGCCAACCATGCCACGATTATGGCCATAAAAGCTCTTAGTGAAGTGCCCATAAACGCTATAATATGTTAAAAAAAAAAAAGAGTAAGACAAAATGGAAGCTAGAAAAGATTATTGAGAGAGAATTGGAGACAATGAGAAGCTTTGAATGATTGAGGACTCGAATGGTTTCCAATGAGAAGCTTTCAATGATTGAGCACTGGAATGGTTTCCAATTATAAAGCCCAAGGGAAATGAGAAGGTTAAGTTTTCTGTTTGAAGTTGTTTGAGTTGTGCGATAATTAATAGCTGGTATATATTGGCTCTAGTTTTAGTGAATATTTTGTTTAGTTTTTTCGAATTAAGAAACTGTGCAAACTGTTGCTCTTTGATTTTGGTTACATATAAGATACTGATTCTTTAAATATGGATGTCTTTTAACTTGCCTATTAAGTTACAAAATATCATTTTACCTCTTTATAGTTTCAAGAAAAGATAATATCTCCTCCCAGACAATTGTAACCCCTCATACTTTTAAAACCTATTTTATCGCCCTTCAATATTTATTTATTTCTAAGTAAAAACATGTCAAAGAAGCCCAAAACTGTCAAGAGTATAGTGTCAAGGAAGCCTGCTTTTTTAGTAGTGAGTGGCTATTGAGCAGAGTAAGTATCTTGGTCAGTTCAGTTTGTAAAGTCAAGTTAAATAGGGTTGTATTTGCAAAGTCTCAAATGTTGCTTATTTTGTATTAAAACACTGCGTTTTAGAACAGCATTAAAAGCTGCTATAACAGCCCTCTACTACACTTACAAAAAAAATTTACAAAAATCTCTATACAAAGTAATGTGGCAAAAAATAAATGGAATAATGAATTTAATGAGTTTGACTTTTTGTTTCACTCTTCCATTCATTTTACGCCACCTCACTTTGTATAGAAATCTTTGTAAGTATAGTATTATTGTTTTGTTATTCAATCAATTAGTCAGTTAATAAGAATTCATTTTTCCCTCTTCTAAAGTCGTCTTTTTTCTTCTTTCCTCTTGATTCCAAAAACCTTCAGTGGCAATAACAATTCATCTTGTTATATATATATATATATATATTTGATTTATTTAATTAATTTTTTGTATAAGATTGTTTTGTAATTTCATATATTGTAAAGTTCACACATGCAAAATTAACTTTAGAAATAATTTGATTTTAAAAGTTACACCTACTAGCTTTTAGACTCTCTTTGATAAAACTGATTATGTTATAATCAACTTGAAACTTAACCAAATTTGAAAATAGTTTATTAAACACTTTTGTTGTTATAGCTTAAAAAATAATTATTGATTATAATTATTGGAAAAGGTTAGGATATTTTAATTCAATAATGTTTTGCTTATAATTTAGTCATACAATTAGATAAAAATTATACAAAATTTATGCAAAGTAATTACTTTATCCTTTGTTTTTTGTCTGGTTGTATGACTCGGTTGTGAATATAATATTACTCTTTACTATTTTACCCTAAAATATGTTAAAAACCAACGAAAAGGTATAGAGTAAGGGGTTCTAAATTACTACCCATACCCGAGGAGATTTATACTTTGGAGGGTTTAAAGAAATTATTTCTCATTAAAATGTAACGGTTTTCTTATTATATCAAAAAAATTTAGTTTCTTCACATATTATTTTTCATATCAACGACCGGTTTTAGATAGAGTTGAAAGAAGTTTAAGGTGTCAGATGACTTAATCAAGGAAGAGGGGAGAGAAAGAGGGCAAAAAGTTTATTATGAATAAAGGGATAACTATAAACCTCCCTGAGGTTTGCGAAAAATCTATAAACCCCCTATAGTCTGGGTATGGACTATAAACCCCCTATCGTTAGTAATTTTCTATTAATTTTAACCGGACGAAGGTAATTGACCTTAATACCCTTACCACCCCTAACCAGCAAACCAACCCCAGCTATCACCGCATTCCAAGTTCCAACCCAAACGCAACCCCCCACCCAACCCATGACCCACCTTTTCAATACCCAGATAACGTTGGCACATCACTGATCAAAACAACCACAGCACAAAATTTACCCAAGACGACACAATACAGTGGCATATCAGAAAATAAAAACACCAAAACTACACAGAAACTTGAAGAAAAAAAATTCAGAACCAAAACCACCACTACACAACATGCACTATATATCTTATAACACCATATCCAGTTCCTATAATGAACAACGAAACAAAAAAAAAAAAAAAAAAAAACACACAAACAGAAAATAATTATCTTGAGATATGGTATTTTTGTAACAAGACTGAAGTAGTAGGAGCTATGGAATTAAGGGGGCAAGTACTTAAGACTTCCATTGGGCGGTTTAGAGGGACAGATATTAAATGATGGGCTTAGCTTAATACTGAAACTAGATGAGTGTGAACTTACATAAACCTCGATTTTAAAGAAATGGATTCGTAATTGGAATGACACTGTTGCATGAAAGGAAACTAGATCGACTTACCATTGTCTGAAAGGAGGAGAAAAAGGTGGATAATAGCTTGGAAGGACAAGGCGCGGCGACTAATATGAAATGTGAAGCGTGATGCGGCTCGTCACAAATGGAGGGGAAATCGTCGAAGAATGGATTGGCGCAATGTAGGTGGGGTGGGGTTATGGAAGAGTGGCTACAAATAGGTTACGGGTGATACGGGTACGGTGGGATTATGACAAAATGGAAACAAATGAGTTAGGGGGTGATTGGGTTAGGTTTTTTGGGTTTTTAATTCTATGTTTTATTAATTATAATTTTTTACGGAAATTTACTCTCTTACCCTATTTCTATTCAAACTTAACAACTAAACAGTAACGGTAGAGCGCTTATAGTCAATACCCATACCATATAGGATTTATTGGCTTTGGCCAAACCTCAAAGGGTTTAAAGTAATTATTCATATGAATAAAATTAATTAAAAAAAATTGGTATTTCTGGAATAATACAAGATATATTTAAAGATTAACTCCTTAAAATAAAGTTAAACAGAGTTTTAGTAAAGCTTAAATAACACCACTCATGTTTTTTACAATAATGTATCTGCCCATAGTCATCATTAATATGTTTAATGCCTCCATATTCAACCACAAATGAGGAAGAATTGTGATAATAATATTAATCAAAATTTAAGAGATATTCATGTTCAAATATCAATTTCTTCAGGTACCCAAAATCAAAAAGCAACACTTGCATAGTTTGTTTTTTTGGAGTGCATGCATCTTCCATTTATTTCATAATATGTTTAAGTAATTTGGAAAGTTTCTTCTTTCATTGACATTAACATAATTTTCACCTCTTCGTCATTCCTTCAGCTTCTTGTTTAGTACTTGTTGGTGCCTTTTGGAATTATTAAAAAAATAGGAAATTACAGCAATAATTTTGATTAAAATTTGATAACAAATTGAATACAAAAGTTATTAGCTACTTTAAAAATTCTTTCTGTCTACTTTTTTTGTTTATTTACTTGTAGTATCATGTTTTATAGGTTGCTTCAGTATCATATTTCTCGGTCTCTAATAGACCCTTGCGCAAACTCCCTCAAATGTTTGCATACTTCGGTGTGAGAAATCGCAACAATAAAGAAAAAAATTTCAGAATTGAAACACTTCATAAACAAATCACGTTGCCCAAAATGGCTCCAAATCACCCTTAGTTATTATGTTATTGATACGTTTACAAAAGTTATTTACTTTCTAGTGAGGCAATTCCCCTTAACTATAAAGAGAAAAGTGAAATTCTTCATCCCTTCTTTGTGGTGGGAGACCCCTATTTATATTATTGCATAGGTAGTCTTACTCATGAAGCAACCTTCTCATTGCATGACACGTCACCACTTGACAAACCATCCTTGTTGGAGACTTACTAGTGAAGTAGTCTTCTCATGTGGTGCCACACAACCTGGATAACAACTGAACCCTGAATCTTATTGTTGAAGCAACATAAGGCAACCTTACAAATAAAGTAACCCCTTCTATGCGTGACACGCAACCAATACAGATGCATAATCACATGACACATGCATGGCGAGAGCTCATACTCCGGTTGCTTAGTCATAGGACACATGTTAAGAGTTCATGCCCTATGAATTTACCATATATCATTCTTAACCCTTCAAGTCTGATGCACGAAATTGAATGAGAAATAGTCAAGGAAAATCAAAGTTGCAGAAGGCAAGCTGATGTGCATGGAATATTTGAGACTGTTTTAGATCATTTGCATGGTGTTACTATGCTGATTTTGTGTTTATGTTTTAGGAATGATGAAGGATGAATCAATGGTGTGTCAAGGGTTTGGTTGATAGAAAGAAGATGAGAAAAGTCTTCAATTTCTCTCTTAATCAACAATGAGTATAAATATAGAGGCTTAGAGATAAGAGATAGGATTCCTAATTAAAAGAGATAAAATAAAATACAAAGAGATGATTAAGAAAAAGGATTTATATTAGATATAGATTAATTAAAAATATTGACATGGAAAATACTAGAGACTTAATAAGTCTACATTTGGAGAAATATTTATTTGCAAAAGAGAGATATATAAAATGATTATCCAATGCATTAAATAAATACGAGATAATTGAAATAAAGAAATAACGTAGACATAGGCATGTCCAGGTTCATTGGATGAAAATAAATAAATAAAAGGATAATAATCCTTGAAAAATTATTTTATAATTATTAAAAGTAAATATAGGAATAAATAAGATCAAGGCATAAAATAATGATTCTATCAACCATAAAATGCCAAAATAAAATTAATGGAATAATAATTTTGGGATTAAATCTTTCTGATTGATAGTATGAGAGATAAAGCCAAAAAAATTATCTGTTGATGAAAAAATAAAATAGATTTATTAAAAAGAAATTAAATAAGAGAATAAAGGATTTTACCAAAATAGCCTTGAAAGCTTTCATGCAAAATTGGATGTAATTAGTTTTAAAAATAATAATAATAAGATACTTAAAAGGGGTTTTTAGTAGATAAAGGTATCTAGTAATGCCCAAGAAAGAATTAAAACTTGAATTTCAAACATATGTAAAAAGAGCGAAAATAAAGTAAAAATCATAGACGATAAGATATAAGGTATAAAAATATGAGATTCTAAATTGTAAGGTTTTTTTACTATATGTAAAAAATAAGAAATCACGAAAGTCATGTTTTATGACGTCCAATGGTATTTTTTATCATATTGGAATTTTGGCCTCCAGGGGTGGAATTTTTCAAATATTTTCTACTTGAGTTTTTTGAAAAAAGAGCTTTCACACCTATTAAGTCAAAATGTCCAAGTAGGTACTCCCCAAACAGACCTTATTCAAAGAAACATTTCAATCTAACCCACAAGAATTGCCTTATTGAAGTGGTTTGGGTCCACCGGCCTTCAAAAAAATTGAAGAGATACTTACTCTTAGTATGTTGTCGTTGCTTGTGAAATATGTCTGATCCTTAAGAAATGATTGGCTTGTCCATTAGAGTGAGTGGTCTTGCAATAAGACATGTGCCATTGTATACTGGTTGGATGGGCTCTGTAGAATCTATCATCAGGTGATGGGCTTTATAGAAAGATAATGTCAGGGGCTTACATTATCAAAATATCATGGCTTTATTTTACATAATGCTATTACATTAAAGAATGTAATGGACTTTACTGAGGTACCAAGCAGTCCTTTAAGCCTAAGGTGTAGTCCTGAAGCTTGATTGATGGCTTTGTACCGTAATTGAACTTTGATTGTAGCTTTAGGCCTTACCGACAAAAGTGGTCATCAATAATAAGGGTGAGCATAAGTAAAACGTAACATCAGAATTAGCCCCAATAGGGTTCGGCTCTAATTTTGGAAAACTGGAATCAGGTATTTTCGATTCCAATTCTAGCTCCTACAGTTCTAGAAGCTGGAACTGAAACCAGAACCAGGATCGGAATCGAGGTCTGAGTAGAAACTAGGACTAAATTTATAATTTTTGTAACTATTTGGGTGTCTTTCAATTTTTTAGGGATGTATTTGTCATTTTTAAAAGTAAGGGGGTAATTAAAATTAACCCAGATACCTGAAACCAAAACTTACGTTTCAAGTTTCAGTTTCAAGTTCCTAGGAACCAAAACCGGCTGTTTCGGTTCCTTAAAAAAATTTGGGGTACTTAAGACTGATCACCTCGTTAGTTGTTGTGAAATTATCATAGTAGGTAAGGGTACTTTACAATTCTATTATAAATGGAAATTTTGTTAGATATTAAGAACTTATACCAGCAGAAAATTTTAAAGTTTAATAAATAAATAATAATATTAAAAATTAAATACTTCTCAAAATTTATATTTACCAGGGTTCACAACTATTTCGCCCTCTAAGTTTAACCCATGGTTTAAAAAATGGCACTTTTTATCTTCACTTTTGCTCGAAGTGATAATTTTAGAGGTGGGAATTAGGCCTGTGCCCAAAGGACACGGCCCAAAAACCCAGTCCTTGGGAGGACCGGACGAGGCCCAAGGGCGGAGGGATCGGGCCCAGGCTGGTCCCTCCTCCAAGGCTCGGGCCCAAACCCCCTCACAATTACATTAACCCCTTGTAAAATATCCAAAACCTCCCTATTTAAGATGAAATTGACAATAAATATATGGATTGAGAGAAGTTTACAAAAAATTAAAAAAAAAAATAAGACCGGTCATGGGCCCATAAGATTCTAGGATCAGTCCAAGCCCTAAGAAATCTCATGGGCCCAGGACGATCCTTCAAAAATTGGGCCTGATCCCTCAAGGCCTGGTCCAAAATTGGGACTAGGCCTTGAGGCTGAGGCCTGGGACCATCTGGGCCCAAGCCTTGCCCACTTCTAGATGATTTCATCCAAAATGCTAAATGTTTATTAACATAAAATCAGTTATGCAAAGACAAAAATACCCTTTTATCTTACATGTTATCCAAAAATAATTACATCTGACCCTGCATGTTTGAAAAAAAAAAGAGAGGATATTTTGACCATATATTCTGTTATTTACACGTGTACTCAGTTCAAAGGCTTATTAATGATGATATAATCTGTTAGTGTTATGGGTTTTAAATTATCACTTGCTTTAAACGGCAAAGTAAATAGTGTCAAACTTTTAAATTTATGGGTTAAACGGAATTTGTCCAAACCTAAGGTGAAATATTTGAAAACCAGTTACATAATTTTTATTATTTATGCTATTAAAATGTGTCCAATGAGCATTGACACATGGTGGAGAGACCAAATAGAATTTATGAGAGCATATTCTTTCTTTCGAACTATAAAAATAAATAAATAAAATGTTGCTCTTTTGGAGGCATTGAATTTTCGCTTTATTATCCTTCCTGTCCACGCCCAAAAAACCCAATCATTTGAAAAAAAACAAGGCTAGAAAGCAAGAGTAGCTAACTTAGCATACCCTCGCGAGTAGGGAAGAGAGCATGAGTCATCGCCACGTGAAGTAAAAGATTTGAATTTGGAATGAGATGAGATTTCAACAACTTTGACACGTGGTCGTATGATTCTCTTTCTCTATTAAGTAAAACATGTAGGACCCTCTTTACATCATTTGGTGGACCCTACTTTCGGACAAGTGGGTCCGCCTGAAGATCCTCCCGGTAGATTCGCTTCATACGCCAAACGGTAATCAAACACAGAGCAAGCAAGCCAGCTAAATTAATTAAAACCCCCTTAATTAAATTTAAATTGGTTTTCGTTTCCGTATGATTAACGGATTAATTATTGATAATTAATTGAGGTTAGCTTAAAATGAGTGAAGCTAGCCTAGCCAAGCCAAGCCAAGCCAACGGAAAGAGAATGCTTGTGACGATTCACATGGATAAGAGGGGGGCATTTTTGTAGTTTCCTTTGAAAGAGTGTTTTTGGATAAGGCTGAACAGAAAGGAGCCTGAAGACTTCGTCACTGCCACGTCCGCAGATTAAGTTAAACCTTCTCCGACCACTTAAACCTGTTACACGTTGGCACTTTCCATTCGCCCACGTTTCACGTTTTTATATTTTATTTCTAAAATTTCCAATTAAACATTATTACATGTAATTAAAGGCAGATTTAGCAAATTTGTTACTTTCTATTTATTACTAATTACAAATAAAAACAGATTTAATATTTCTATTTGGCAGTGTAATTATCTAAATTTAGAAACTTATATCCTTAAAAAAGGTTATATTTTGAGTTATCTATTTCATTTTTTATTTTAAGAAACAAATTAATCTTATCCAAACCAACTTTATCTATCTCCCTCGAATTTCTATTATAAATTTTACCCTCAATATTGTAAACGACACGTCGGTTTGGCTTAGATTTTACATATAAAAATAAAATAAAATAAGTGATAGAAAAATTCTGACACCCATCAAGTGGATCAGGATAAGGCTATAATAATATTAAATAATTTTTTTAATTTTATTTTTAGTTTTAACACTGATATATTTATATAAGAAACCAACAAAACAAAAACAAGGAAATTATCAGGCTTTTGTTCTTCTTCTTCTTCTTTGTTATCAATTTTTTTCTCGAGAGAGATTATTTTGTTGAAGTTTGATCTGCAGGAAATCGGAGGATGTCGATAGCAATGGATAGGGTCGAACCTTCGGGGTTCAGAGGAGGGGGGGTGGCTATCTTTGAGATGCCGCCGATCTCCGACGAGAAGGCCGCGGAGGAGCAGGAGGCGGAGGAACGAAATTGGTGTAGTTCATCGTCCACATCATCGATCGGGAGGAACAGCGATCTCTCAGGGAGATCGTCATCGGACGGTGAGGATGGAGAGGAGAATGAGGTTCAGAGCTGTTATAAAGGACCCCTGAATATGATGGATTCGTTAGAGGAAGTCTTACCCATCAGGTTAATATCTCTCTTTGTTTTTGAAAATACTTAATTTCTTTTATCTGGGTAACACAAAAGTTTTGATTTTGATGAAGGGGAAATGAAGTTCGGTATCGTTTTAGAAATGTCGGGATTTGTTTGTTTTTAGCTAGAGACGTAAATGAAAATGGCATAAATTGAAGTTGAATTAGAAATTTTGATGTGGGTATTAATAATCTGGGTTTTTGAATACTTATTTATTACGGGCAAATTGCTCATTGATATTGTTGGCATAATACAAGTGATGAAAATTTTCGATCCTCAAAATGGTTGTCTATTTTGCATTTAGTGTGAGGATTTGACTTTCTCAATCTCTGCATATAGCGTTTGTTAGAAGTGAATCTAACGAATTGATGGATATAAATGGTTGCAGGAGAGGCATTTCTAGTTTCTATAGCGGCAAATCCAAGTCCTTTACAAGTTTAGCAGACGCTTCATCTACTTGTTCAATCAAAGACATTGCAAAACAAGAGAATGCATACACCAGAAGACGCAGAAATCTACTTGCCATCAATCATTTATGGGACAAGAACCGAAATTTCCCCCTTAAAGGCAACGGTAGCGGAATATCAAAAAGACCAATCACCTCTAGCCGGAGCACGTTAGCTCTGGCGGTTGTGATGAGCAGCTCCGAGAGCATCAGTAGTACAAGTGATGATTCCGGTTCAAGGTCTCCACAGCGATTACCGCCGCTGCATCCACAACCTCGAGGGTCTTCTTGGCGGTCATACTCCGTGGCGGATTTACAACAATGTAGAAATGATGTAATCTCAAATTCATTTTGCTCTTTCGCTGGTGAGAAAACTGATCATAAGCAGCTAATTTGACAATTGTAATCTTTGTTACCATACAGTCCCAAATGGATTCGACTGTCAAAAAGCTTAGTGTGCATCGTGTTTTTATATCATATTTCATGCTCTTACACTAAATAGCTTTTAGTATGGAATAGAATGTGAAAAGTGATTAAAGCTCTCACATTGTTGTCATTTCTGAATGAAAAGATCTTGTTAACGAGTAAAATTTGTTGCTTGGTTTTTAACCCCAATACATCACTCCAACAAGTGATGTGATGTGAGCGCAAACTCAATACGCATGGAAGACAAATTATTAACAACAATTTTAGTCCATCAGTAGAGCTCAATTCCTCTCATCCCGTCACCCTGATATAATGTAGAAGGCGCATTTGAGATAAATAGGATTTGGAAGAGAAACAAAAATAACAAAACATTGAAGGCACCTGAGTCTTTAATTTATAGACAGGCAGTCCAATGTTGGAACTTTGGCATTTATTCCATGGCCTTATTCAAGGACATGGTGGAATGGAAAGCAAATAGAAAGTAGAGAATCCAAAAGAATGTATATAGAATTTGGGGTGATTTCTATGACCTACAAAACATAACAAATAATTAGTAATAGTAATTACATCAGGAGTCAATGAACTAAATTTTCAAGGTTTTTACTATGTACAAAAAGGAGGCTGAAAACAGCATCACAATACAATAGTGTAGTTCAAGAATATTTATATACAGAGGGGGGAAGGATGAACATCATAAAAACAAAAGCATCCTCCTTAGTCCTTATCTATACGAATCACAACTAATGGCTAAACCTACAAGAATTTGGGGGCAATGTACCTGTCGTTCCCAGATAATACACTTCAAGTCTTCCATTGCCTAGGTATTTCTTCATATTAACAAATTATAAAGTCATCCAACAATTTTCCAATCATCCCAAATTCACCTGGGCCCTCTACAAGTAAAATGATCATTAAGCTTCACATAGAGCAGGACCTTAAGCTTCCATTCTTTGAACAAAGTACAACATCGTTTATTTCTGAAGCTGGATCAGAAATTGTACACAAGGATATTCAGACAAAAATGTTGGAACTTCAATATCTGAAGGATCTATAACAGGGATTGCCATATCTATGTCTTCAGTCGAGAATGGTATGCTGCAGGTAAAATGATTTATCAAACTAAAGCATTTTTGTACTGGACAACTAAAGCATCGCAAAATAATTGAGTACTTGGCATATTAACAAAAATGTTTAGAGTTCAAACAGCTAAAATCAATCTCAGGGGTGGAAAAACTTGCAATCATCAAAAGTGTTACCATCTGAATATTAGCTTTAGTTAATTAGAGATGGAGGAAGAAAAAGGACTAAAAAATACATAAATATTAGTTCAGTGAACTATGGTAATTCATGCCCTGACTCGGTAACCATGGGATGTGATTGAAGTACAATCATCCAACTAGCCACTACTGGGAAACCACATTACCTTAGATCATCATCCAGCAAAAATGAGTTTGAGGTCAGATTCTGATTGTCCTTGTTCAAAATCTCCCTCATTTGAGCAACAACCTGCCAACGAAATTATGTTCAGAAACCAAAGACCCCATTTGACAACAAATATTCAGAACAAAGACAGGTACTTAAATTGTAACTTGCCTCATTTGACACACTCTGGGTGCCATATTTGTCATCCCAGTACATAGTACTTATGCGATAGATTTGCCTAACTGTCAATGTCTGTTCAGGTATCACAATAAAAGGAATTTATAAAACATCTACAAAGTGCTTGCTTCAGCAAATTGAGAGGAGAGAGATGGAAAAGAATTAGATAAGCATACCGGACATAAATCCTGTCTAATCTCTTCCAAGGACTTTTTTCTTTTCTGATGTATTACCTAAAGAAATTACCAAAGAACCTCAATTGTAAGAGACTTGTCCAGTGGTTTACATTTTCAAAGATGAAACAAGAAAAGCTATGGCTTATACCAGAAACCCAACCGCTTGTCTAATATAATTTAGCTCATGCCAAGACGTTCCTGCAAACTGCATTATGTAATAACTGAGACTCAAAATCTGTTATATTCAATCCTTGAGGCAGTTATTACCACATAAGACAGCATGACAGCATTTACCTCCTCTGTTGCATTGACTATCCATTTCTCAAGTTCTGCCAGACCAGATTTCACATATTCCCCATTTGAAAATGTGCAGCACTCACGTCGCAGCAGAAGACTAAGAGAAAAAAACAACAATAATAATAATACACAATATGTCAAGGATGAACTAGTCGTACATGGGCTAAAGCAAACAGAACTCTGAAATTGTGATCACTGACCTGTTGAAAAGTGATATGTTGATGAAAGAGAAAACCTGGGTAATGAGCTTACGGATGAAAAAAGAGGGTACCTGTAAGTACACTATTTAGGTCAGAACAGAAGACAAAAGAAAGAAAGCACTGAAATATGTAAAGTTATAATGCTTAACCTAGCACCATTTTCGAGAAGGTCAAATATAATTTCTCATTTTTCCCAAGGAAGCTTCAATCTTAACAAAGAATTGATGGATCAGACAGTCAATTCTTTTGAGATGCAAAGTCATTTGACGACCAAAGGAGTAGCGAATCCAAAAGGTTAAACTACCCAGGACTCACTTGAGATACAAAATGACTAATAAAAGGTTTTCTCCACTCTTTGGAACAAAGAAATAACATTATGAGCAACTGCAGTGCCTAATTTATGAACTATTACATTATCACATGATTGCAACAGTTATTTCTGCAGATTATATCTTCATGAACTTTAGCCATTAGTAATGCAATACAATCTCCTACAATGCCAAGTGTTGACCTTCTCTTTGGACTTTTGTGCCATCTAAATTTTGAGATGTACTGCTTTTCTTTATTCTTCACAAATGGTAGGTGGCAGTGAATTGATTAAAGATATCGAGATTTTAGACTGAGTTTCTCATTTTATTTAGTTAAAAAAGAAGAAACCCCATATACAATAACTAAATCATAAATCCTGGTCATGCAGGAACGCACGTGTTCACACTACCATATTCCCATATGAAAGAAGAACAAAAATTATTTGTGAAAGATAGACAGGAAAGTGGGAGGTCAGACAGAACAACAATTTATTGGTTTAATTATATCTTTAAACACAAGACCAATCTTCTCAAGAATCAAAAGTTTAACAGTGTCCATAAGTAACAATTAAAATCAACATACTAACAAATATAGGAAAGAAAAGGAAAACAAGAAAACATAGCACATACATGATTCTCACGCAAACGACCCATAAGAGCATCCAAAAATTGAATGATGCTGTCCCATTGACTAATTTGTGTTTGCTGCGGAATACCACCTGGAGATCTAGATGATTTTCCAGCATGTACTCGAGCAGTTTTGGGCACCTTCCAAAAGTGTCACAGGATTGCATGAGAATGATTAATGACCCACATAATTTGAGACAAAATCAAGGGAAAAAAAAAATCAGAAAACAGAGAGTGATTAAGAGGTATTGGTTCAGAGCAAGTTAATAACTGGAATTCAAATTAAACCGCAGTCAAATAAAGTAGAGATCTCATACAACATAGTACAGATATATAGTATATGCACATTCCGGAAGCAACTATCACTCAGGCAGTTGGCTAAGTTGCACTTATTTGAAAATAAGAGCATCACTTACAGTAGGAAAATAAATTTAAGTCATATTTTAGGCACTTGAAAGCTTTCACTAACATAGTTTTCCTCATTTTATCAAAAATATGAATGGCTAAAAATATAAATTCAACATCAGTTTATCAAGACTGAGACAGTTCAGAACTTTGCATTCAATAAATCCATTATATGACAAGATACAAAATTCTTTGGAAGGAACATTTGATACACAATAGTGGAGGACATATCAATCAAGGAACTATAAGTACACCAACATACAATGACCAAATAATTAGGATCACAATTTCAGAGCTGCTTGTCTATATCTATTAAAACTCACTTAAATTGAAAGAGCCCAAACAAGGAACCATAACAAGATTTATAAAGAAATTAATTATAGGTGGCTAGATAATGATAACTTTGGCTTTATGTTTCAAAACTGTGTTAGATCTGCTAAAGAAAACATTACCTGAATGCATGAACCCAAGAGCGGTGACAATTCTTTCTTCAAATTATCACGAATCAGACCAAAGATCTTCTCTACGCAAGCAGTAAGTTGTTGTTTGAAAAGTATTGCAGGATATCTTGCCTCAAGATGTGAAATATTATCCCCAAATCCAATGTATTTAAAAGGAGATTTTAAGCCCTGCAAGCGTTATAACAATAACACATTGAAAACTTAAATGAAGACACACTTCTTTATGAAACTACCATGAAGTGTCAAAAATAAATAAAATGTGCTGTTTCACCATTACCCATTCAATTAACTAGTACTAGAAAATTTTTAACCCAAAATCATTAGTGATGCACCAAAAAAGTGATTAAGTTTAGAATGGAAATATATCAAACATAAGTCAAAAAGAATAATATATCATTAGTTTAAACATAAACTGACACTTAGCCACATTGTCCACACATTTCCTTTTATTAATCAGGCATATTAGATTTAAGAAAGCATTCAAACCTTAAACTCGGAGAGTAAACTACAATTTTTAGAATCTAAACCGTAGTCAACATTCCACAATATCAAAATTTACCCCCAAAAAAAATTATAACCCTGTTCTTGTTCCAGACAGTAAATTATATTACATAAAACTAATATAGTATAAACAAATAAGAAACAGCACATAATAGGTTAGGTGGATATAATCACTAAACACCTCAAATACAAATACTGTACAGTTCAACAATGAAGAAGGACAATTGAATAGCTCGCCATACACTCCTTGACAGCTTCTTTTTACAATTAAATTTTCTTCTCTTTTTTCTCTTGCTACTTATCTACCAACACAAAATATCATAATATGCAAAGTCTTGTCATAAGTAGTGAAATGGTACAAGGAAATGGGTACAAAAATTGTTCATGAGGGTCATTAAATTCATTAGTCAACCCTTTCCTCTAACTATTATTTCCTTTAGCTCTAAATAATTGATGAAATCAATTTCCAAAACATCTACATTCCTTCTTTCTCCCACAAGTCAGGTTAAAGTCACACATTGAGAAAGGATTATTGAAAAGGAATCAATAAATTAATAAACAAACTCATAGCAAAAGTGATAGCAACCCCT